CCCTTCCGGTCTCCTCCTCCTCTCCGTGAAGAGGCTCAAGTTCACCTGGCAATGATTATGTTATGACATTTGTATTCAGGAGCCATTTATTAACCTCCAACATGTGCCTATCTGTCATTTATTAGGTATTTGATCTCATTGATTTTTTTTTGTGATTTAAATTTCAAAATTTTACTCTTTATTAATTTGGTAGGCAAAACAAATATTATTGCTATAACTTTAAAAATTTAATTGAATTATTTTCAATTACAGTTGACCTTCAATATTATTTTTTTTAATATTTATTGTTTAGATTATTACAGTTATTCCTCTTTTTCCCCCCATAGCTCCCCTCCACCCGGTTCCCACTCCACCCTCTGCCCTTAACACCCCCCCCCCCCCGCCCCACTGTCCTCATCCATAGGTGTACAATTTTTGTCCAGTCTCTTCCCGCACCTCCCACACCCCTTTCCCCCCGAGAATTAGCAGTCCACTCCCTTTCTATGTCCTTGATTCTATTATATTCACCAGTTTATTCTGTTCATCAGATTTTTTATTCACTTGATTTTTAGATTCACTTGTTGATAGATATGTATTTGTTGTTCATAATTTTTATCTTTACCTTTTTCTTCTTCTTCCTCTTCTTAAAGAATACCTTTTAGCATTTCATATAATACTGGTTTGGTGATGAACTCCTTTAGCTTTTTCTTATCTGTGAAGCTCTTTATCTGATCTTCAATTCTGAATGATAGCTTTGCTGGATAAAGTAATCTTGATTGTAGGTTCTTGCTATTCATCACTCTGAATATTTCTTGCCACTCCCTTCTGGCCTGCAAAATTTCTCTTGAGAAATCAGCTGACAGTCGTATGGGTATTCCCTTGTAGGTAACTGAGTTTCTTTCTCTTGCTGCTTTTAAGATTCTCTCTTTGTCTTTTGCTCTTGGCATTTTTTTTTTATTTTTTTTTATTTTTTATTGATTTTTTACAGAGAGAAAGGGAGAGAGATAGAGAGTTAGAAACATCAATGAGAGAGAAACATCGATCAGCTGCCTCCTGCACATCTCCTACTGGGGATGTGCCCGCAACCCAGGTACATGCCCTTGACCGGAATCGAACCTGGGACCTTTCAGTCCGCAGGCCGACGCTCTATCCTCTGAGCCAAACCGGTTTTGGCTGCTCTTGGCATTTTAATTATGATGTGTCTTGGTGGATTCCTTTTGTTTGGGGTTCTCTGCGCTTCCTGGACTTGTAAGTCTATTTCTTTCACCAGGTAGGGGAGGTTTTCTGTCATTATTTCTTCAAATAGGTTTTCAATATCTTGCTCTCTCTCTTCTTCTGGCACCCCCATAATTCGGATGTTGGTAGGCTTGAACTTGTCCCAGAGGCTCCTTACACTATTTTCATATTTTTGGATTCTTTTTTCTTTTTGCTTTTCTGGTTGGGTATTTTTTGCTTCTTCATATTTCAAATCTTTGACTTGATTCTTGCGATCCTCTAGTCTGCTGTTGGATCTCTGCATAATATTCTTTATTTCAGTCAGTGTATGCTTAATTTCTAGTTGGTCCTTTTTCATATCCTCGAGGGTCTCACTAGACTTATTGAGGGTCTTACTAAATATATCAGTGGATTCTAGAAAATTCTTGAAAAACCTTAAAAGTGTGGTTTTGAACTCTATATCCAGTAGTTTGCTTTCCTCCATTTCTGTCATTTGTGTCCTTTTTCTTTGTCTCCGCATTTTTTATGCTTCCCTGTGTTGATAAAGTGGTTTTCTGTGCTAACTGTCCTCTAGGGCCCAGTGGTTCAGCCTCCCCAATTACCTGAGGAGGACACTCTTGGTGCACCCCCTTGTGGTCTTTGTGCACAGTCTTGTTGTAGTTAAGCCTTGATTGTTGTAGGTATCACTGGGAGGAATTGACTACCAGGCCAATTGGCTGTGAGAACCAGCTGTGTCTGCAGTGGGAGAACTTCTGTGCTGGAGACACCCTTATGGGGCAAGACTTGCTTCAGTGGGGCTTTGGTGCTCACTGAGTCTGCCCCCTGAGTGTGTCCCATATGGATCTGAGGAGTTGTAATCTGGATGGTCCCACTCTGACCACTGGGTACACTGGCACTTGGATCTCTAAAAAGGTGCTAATTTAGCCTCTGCCTGAGGCTACCCAGCAGGAGCTACGAAGAGATCTTCAGATTCCCCTTCCTTGTTTGGGGTTTGGAGGTGCCCAAATGAGGCCCAGCTGTGAAGCAATGCAAGCTGCTGTGGGATCTTGGACCTTCTCTTGGAAGCTCTGGGTCTGTCTGGCCCAGCTGCAGTTTGTTAGGTAATTTTCAGATTGCAAAGGGCCAGGGCATTCATATGCAAAAGCCTCTGCCGCAGCTTGGGTGGGGTGAGGTCTCAGGGAATCAACAGGGCGGAACAAGCAGCTATGGCTGATCCTCAGCCCTGCCCTAAGGGGCCCCGAGTCTCAGTGTCCCGGTAATCGCTGCAAGCACCTTTGAGAGAAAGTGGCCCTTGAGTTCCGAGTTCTGCCCGCTGCCAGACAGTCCAGTTTCTCCCCGTATGAGTCTGGGTCCCCAGAGACTCGCACGGAACTGGAGCAGGGCCATTGGGAGCTTGTGTCTCCCTCCGGATTGAAAAAGACAGCTGCGTCCTCAGTTGCCAGCCCTTTCCGTGCGCGCCTCCGTACCTCTGCACTTTACTTCCGCACCTCCTCTGAGCCTCAGTGTGCTTTTCTCTTCCTTCTAGTTGTAGAATTTCCACCCAGCCAGCCTTCCCGTGGTTCTGGATGATGTTCGTTTTGTCTTTTAGTTGTGTTTTTGAAGTGGTTGTGTGAGGCAGCAATTTCAGGTGTTTACCTGTGCCGCCATCTTGGTTTTCTCAACCTTCAGTATTATTTGATATGAGTTTTAGGTAAGTGCCTTACATTTGATCAGTTTTTATCAATGTTATATTTTTGGCCCTTGAAAAGGATACTATCTTAAAATTAGTAGCATTACCACATGTCCAAGGATACCAAAGATTCAGGAATATACAATTTACTGTGCTTAATCAGAAAACCAGAAAGATCTTTCTAGGTTTTGAATTGAATTATTTTGAGTTCAAAATCAACTATTATTATTTTAAATGCTTCTTTTATTTATCATCAGGAAGTTCTTTTTTTTTTTTAAAGCTCTATTGAGCTTTATTTATTTATTTTTGTTATCCTCACCTGAGGATATATTTACAGATATATATGTGTATATATATATATAATATATTAAAAAAATATTAAAATATACTTTAAAAAATATTTTTACTGATTTCAGAGAGGAAGGGAGAGGGCAAGATAGACATATCAATGATGAGAGAAAATCATCGATTAATTGCCTCCTGCATGCCCCACACTGGGGATTGAGCCCACAATCTGACCAGGAATCAAACCATGACCTCCTGGTTCATAGTTTGGCACTCAACCACTGAGAAACACTGGCCAGGACTGAGGATATTTTTTCCATTGATTTTTAGAGTAGAAGAAAGTGAGGCGAGGGGAGAGAGAGAGAGAGAGAGAGAGAGAGAGAGAGAGATGAGAGGGACACATTGATTGATTACCTGCATCCAAGGTATGTACCCTAGACCAGGAATGGAGCCTGCCACCCTTTGGTGCACAGGCCAGTGCTGTATCCACTGAGCCCAACGGCCAGGGCAGAAAGTTATTTTTCTGTAAGTGTGTGGTTCTAAAAGACTGGTGCATGCCCTCTTCACCTCCTTCCCTAACCATAGCTCTCCCATCATGGATTGTCTCCTCTGTCCTTCTAAGTCTTTTATTTAGGTAGTTTGTCTATTGTAATGGAAATCTGTGCATCTATGCTGGAGAGTAGGGTTCATTCTAGACCAGCGGTTCTCAACCTGTGGGTCGCGACCCCTTTGGGGGTCGAACAACCCTTTCACAGGGATCGCCTAAGACCATCGGAAAACACATATATAATTACATATTGTTTTTGTGATTAATCACTATGCTTTAATTATGTTCAGGTGAAAATACATCCTGCATATCAGATATCTACATTACGATTCATAACAGTAGCAAAATTACAGTTATGAAGTAGCAACGAAAATAATTTTGTCGTTGGGGGTCGCCACCACATGACGAACTGTATTAAAGGGTCATGGCATTAGGAAGGTTGAGAACCACTGTTCTAGACTGTCTTTGCTGGCAATCAGTGAGAACAAAGTGTGTCTCCTGGGGCATGTTAATGAGGGCGCTCTAGAAGCCGGCTCTTCCTGGAGGTCCCATGCACAAGGTGGTTCCAAAGCTACGTCTTTTTGGAAAGGAACCTCGTGCTTCCTAGAACAGGGACTTATTCTCGGTTAAACAAATGGCCAGGTCTTTCTCCAGGAAAGTTGGTTCTTTGGGGAACAACACAAGAATTGGCAGTTATGGCCGCTCTCTAATGGTGACTGTTGTCCAAATCCGAGAAACAAAGGAGAGGAACCGTTTCTGGGCTTGGGTGGGGCTGCTGTCCGGGAAGAGTCAATCGGTAAAAACGGAAGTTGGAAGTTCTGTGACTCCTCATTCCTGGCGGGACGCCTCCCATTGGCTGCGTGGCGGTTGGACGGGCGGCTCCCCTCCGGGAGGAAGCACAGCGCATCACTTCCTGCGGGGGCCATAGCGGCGCGTCGAGGGGCTGGGAGCGCTTCGGACACCGGGACGACCAGGGCGGCGGGTCTAGGACGGCTCGGTCCTAAGGGTTCTTTCTCACTTCCAGGCTCCAGACTCCGTTTTAAATGAGGTCTCGGTTTACTAATTCCCCCAGTGTGCGCTCGGGGCCCTGGGTTCTTGGAGAAAGAGGTTTCCAAGGTTCCTGGTGGGTTCCTTCCAGGAACCAGAACCGGTGGAGACGCGACACCGGGTTGGATGTATCCGCGGGCCAGGCCTGGTCCTCACTGGCCTTCTGGACGGCAAACCCTTCCGGCGAGGCGGGTGGGTGGCGCTCCCCGGGCTGTGTATGGGTTCCCCGGCCTCACCCTCCTCTCTGTCGCCCGCCAGGCTCGGCGACCAGTTCTACAAGGAGGCTATCGAGCACTGTCGGAGCTACAACTCGCGGTTGTGCGCCGAGCGCAGTGTCCGGCTGCCCTTCCTGGACTCGCAGACCGGGGTGGCCCAGAACAACTGCTACATCTGGATGGAGAAGCGGCACCGGGGCCCAGGTAAGCCTGCCCCGGACCGGGACCGGACGGGCTGGGTTAGGCCTGGGAATCCCTGCACGCGGGTGGGGGTGGGGCAGGCCGGACCGCGGGCAGGGTTCTTCCTAGAAACTCGCTGATGTTCATAGCTCTTTTTTTTTTTTTTTTTTTTTAAAAATTGATTTCAGAAGGGGGGAGAGATTGAAACATCAATGATGAATCATTGATTGGCTGCCTCCTGCACCCCCCCCCCCCCCACCGGGGATCGAGCCCGCAACCTGGGCACGTGCCCTTGACCGGAATCGAACCTGGGACCCTTGAGTCGGCAGGCCGATGCTCTATCCACTGAGCCAAACCAGCGAGGGCCGTTCATAGCTCTTGACTGGGGTTCGATTCCAGGTCAGGGCACATGTCCAGGCTGCGGTTCTATCACCGGACAGGATGTACGGGAGGCAACTGATCACTGTTTTTCTTTCACACTGATGCTCCTCTCTCTAGAACTAATGAAGTTACTCTTAAAAAAGAAAGACTGGGTAGAGATTATAGAGGTAATTAAAACCTTCTGTTATATGAGTTTCAAACCCATGCGAAAGCGGAGAGAATAATACAATGAATCTCTATGTATTTATCACCCAGAGTCAACTATGACCAACTTATGGCCAATCTTGTTTCATTTACGCTCTCCTCCCCCTTCCTTCCTTGGCCTCAGGTTATTTTGAAGCTAATCAAATCTGTTCTTTGTTGTTGTTGTCTGTAAATGTTTCAGTATGTATGTCTAAATGGTAATGACTTGCCCTAGCAGGCTTGGCTGAGTGGATAGAGCATCAGCCCGCGGACTGAAGGGTCACAGGTTTGCGCATCAGGCTGGGGACTGAAGGGTCTTGGGTTTGATTCACGTACCTTCGGTTGATCTCCGCCCGTACGGGCGCGTGAGGGAGGCAACCAATAGAAAAGACATCAGTGTTTCTCTGTCTCTCCCTTTCCCTATCATTCTCTCTAAAAATCAACGAAAAAATATCCTTGGGTGAGATTTAGCAAACAAACAAAAAAAAATGGTAAGAACTTAACCCCTCTTCTCCCCCAATAAACCAGGAATAGCTATCAAAGCTCAAAGTTTCCCTGGCTGCCCTGGCTCGGTGTTTAGCCCGCGCACCAAAAGGTTGAGGGTTTGAGTCCCAGTCAAGAACATGCGGGAGTCAACCAATCAATGTGTCTTTCTCACACTGATGTTTCTCTTTCTCTCGCCCTTCTACTTTCTCTAAAAAAGCAATGAAAAAAAAAAAAATCCTCTGGTGAGGATTAACAAAAACAAAAAAAGAAAAGAAAAAAGAGGGGGGGGGGGCGGGCTATAAGGGGTCAATGGGAGAAAAAAGGGGACATATGTAGTACTTTAAACAATAAAGATTTTAAAAAAAACTTGAAAGGAAAAAAACCATGAAAAAAAAGCCACTCAAAATTAACAGTAAGTTGTTGTTGTTAATCCTCACCGAGAATATTTTGTTTTTCTTTTTTCCCCCTTTTTATTTTGAGAGGGGAGAGAGAAACATTGATTTGTTGTTCTCCTTACTTATGCATTCATTGGTTGATTCTTGTATGTGCCCTGACCGGGGATCACACCCGCAACCTTGCCATATTCTAACATGCATCAATAAGTCATTCCTTTTTTATGCTGAGCAGTATTCCATTGTATGGCCGGAATACATTTTGTTTACCCACTCACCTTTTGATGGACATTTGGATTTGTTTCTAGTTTCTGGCTATTACAAAGTTGCTGTGAGCATTTGTGTATAAGTCTTTGTGTGGACATGTACTTTTATTTCTTCTGGGCAAAGTACCGAGGAGTGTAATGACTAGATTGTAAGGAAGGTGTATGTGTAACATTTCAAGAAACTGCTAAGCTTGCTTTCAAAGTGGTTGTATCATTTTACATGCATGCCAACAATACACTTGAGTTCCAGTTCCTCCATATTCTCACCACCACTTGGTATGGTTAGATTTTTAAAGTGTTAATCATTCTAACAGTTATATTGTTGTCTCTCAATGTGGTTTTACTTTGAATTCCCTAATTAACAATGATGTTGAACATCTTTACAAGTGCTTATTTACTATCCATATATGTTCTTTGGTAAAGGGTTCACCTTTTTAAAAAAAATATATTTTATTGTTTTTTTACAGAGAGGAAGGGTGAGGCATAGAGAGTGAGAAGCATCGATGAGAGAGAAACATCGATCAGCTGCCTCCTACACCCCCCCCCCCCCCCACTAGGATGTGCCCGCAACCAAGGTACATGCCCTTGACCGGAATGGAACCTGGGACCCTTCAGTCTAGAGGCCGATGCTCTATCCACTGAGCCAAACCGGTTAGGGCAAGGGTTCACCTTTTGTCCATTTTAAAAATAGATTGCTTGCTTGTTTTGTTGTCATTAAATTTTTATAGTTCTTGGTCATAAAAAGGAAGAAAATTTTACCCTTTGCGACAGCATGGATGGACCTGGAAAACATACTAAGTGAAGTAAGCCAGTCAGAGAAAGACAAGTACCAAATAATTTCACTCATAGGTGGAATTTAATGAACAAACTGAACTAACAAGAAAAATAGGGACAAACTCATAGATAGAGAGCAGGCAGACAGCTCTGGTGGCGGGGATGAGGTGGGATGGGTGGGGGGATGAGGGTATTGGTGTGTGGACGGATTAGAAGGACTGGGTAGAAAAAAGAAAGAAGTCATGGACAACAATGTGGTAATTTCAAGGTCGGGGAGTGAGTTGGATGCAGGTAGAAGAAGGTACAGGGGGGATACAAGACCTTTATTTGACATACGCTGTGAAAATATTTTCTTCCGGATTGTTTCTTGTATTTTCATTATCTTAATAGTATCTTTCAAAGAGCAGGTATTTAAGTCGAGCTGATCAATTTGTTATTTTCTAAATTGTGATTTTGTTGTATCTAAGAAATTGCTGCCTTAATCCCAGGTCAAGGTGTGTTTTTTTTCTTTTTTCTTTTTTTTTTTTCCCGTAGAAGCTTTATAATTGAGGTTTTATATTTAGATCTATGATCCATTTTGAAAGAAATTTTTAATATGGTGCAAGGTATGGATTAAAGTTTTTTCTGCAGATAGACATCCAATTGTTCCAGCATAATCTGTTGAGCTATGAATTGCCATTGTACCTCTGTCAAAAATTAGAGGCCACATGTATGTGGATCTATTTCTGGACTCTCAATTCTGTTTCACTGATTTGTCTGTCTTCACACTAATAACTCACTGTCTTGATTATTGTAGTTTTATAATGCATATTGAAATCAGATAGTGTGTTAGCCCTCCAAATTTGTTCTTTTTCCAAGATATTTTGGCTATTTGACCTTCTTAGCACTTCCACATGACATTTTACAATCAGTGTGTCAATTTTCACAAAAATATGTGGGATTTTGATTAGGATTGTATGGAATCAATAGATCAAGTGGGGGAAAATTGACAGTTCTAAATGTTGAGTCTTCCAACCCACAAATATGGCATATCCCTACTTACTTATGTCTTTAATTTTTTCCCATCAATACATTTTATTTTTCAGTATACAGATCTTCACATTTCTGTCAGGTTTATCTCTAAGTACTTAAAATATTTTTGATATTGCTGTAAATGGACTTTTAAAAATTTAAATTTCTGATTTTTCTTTACTAGTATAGAGTACAATTAAGTTTGTAAATTGATTGCATATCATGCAACCTTCTAAACTCATATTAGTTCTATTAGGTTTCCAGAGATTCCACAGCATTTCCACATAATTATGTTGTTAGTAAATTAAGAAAATTTTTCAATATAGATGAGTTTTATTTTATTTGTCTATTGCACTGGTTATTAAGTAAAAGTGGTGAGAGGAAGCATTCATTGTTTCATTATTTTTAAAAATACATATTTTTATTTTTATTTTATTTATTTTATTGCTTAAAGTATTACAAAGGGTATTACATATGTGTCCTTTAAAAATACATATTTTTATTGATTTCAGAGAGGAAAGGAAAGGGAGAGATAGAAATATCAATGATGAGAAAGAATCATCGATTGGCTGCCTCCTGCATGCCCCCTACTGGGGATCGAACCCGAAAGCTGCCCTTGACTGGAATCGAACCCGGGACCCTTCAGTCTGCAGGCTGATGCTCTACCTACTGAGCCAAACCAGCTAGGGTCATTGTTTCTTTATTAAGCGTGATGTTAGATGTAGGTTTTTTTTGTAGTTCTTTATCAGACTGAGGGTGGTCCTATTTCTAGTTTGAGCGTTTTAAATCAGGAATGGATGTTGGATTTTGCCAACTGATTTTTCTGAGTCTATTGAGATGCTCATGCAATATTTCTTTTGTGGTTTGTTAATATGATGTTACATTGATTATTTTTTTCTGCAAAAAGCTTAATTGTTTCATTTGATCCAATGCATGGGTGAGGCTTCAGGGTGGTTAAAAGAATGGCTAGTAGTTTCGGGGAGAGGCTCAGGTAAAAGCCTGGCACCTGGGGAATGCAGAGGGGCCTCTGAAAGGCCTCTGGGCTCCAAAGGCTTAGTCGTGCTTGAAGGTGAGCCTTTCGAAGAGATACGCCCAGCCTGGGGGCCGGTAGCCTGCGGATGTTAGTCAGGTGGTGGCCCATCTTCCTGATGAATTTCACCTCCTCATCCAGGAAGTGGTTCTCCCGGAAGTCACAGAGCTGAGGGTAGAACCCAGGGCCTGCAGCTCCAAAAGGGTCTGGTTCAGGTGCCTCTCCAAGGCCAGGGCGGCTTGCATGACGTAGTGAGTTTTAACCCACTGACCTTGGGAAGGCTTCAACACGTCCTGGAATAGAATGCGGCCACCATGCTTGTTTTGCCCCTTTAAGAGATGCTCAGTGCCCTCGCCCTTCTTCTCCGCCAACTCGCAGAAGTGGCCCACACCCTCAAGCGCCACATCGTGGTGGTGGAAATAGAAGCCCAGAGAGAGGTAGGTGTGGGAGGCCCACAGGTGCAGGTTGGCCAGGCGGTTGACGCAGCCTCCACCCTGGCGG